AACTACTATTCTGTTTTGAAATTCACACTAGTCCTGTGACTCACATCGAGATGGAGCCATTTTGTCGCTTCGTATTTGCTCTTCCAGCCAATTGGAACATTACGAGACTGTAGCCCCCAATTCAAAGTCAAACGCATCTGCATGTAATGCACTTACCCATTGGAAACTCAGCCCTGCTTACCTACAGCCTCATTAGGTACCTACAGTCACTCAGACGCTCATCTACTTTCTCCCCTTTTTGCCGGCACCCTTTACACCATCGCACAGAGCAGGTGGACCCAAATCGTTTTAACCACTTTCGCGCCCTCGGCCATCTGTGCCGGTGGGTCGGCAGCACCTCCAGTCGCGCCTCGTTGGGACGCTGGTTTCTAGGCTAACTTGACCCGCGTGACTCACACCCCTGCAGACCGCGTCTGCTGCGTCTGCAGGAGGCAGTGTGGAGGCGATGGACGCTTGCGAGAGGCAGTCTAGACTCACCTTCAGAGTGCGCACTCCGGGCATGAGGAATGAGGTCGTCGTCTCGCCGGCCCAGGCCAGCGCGGCGCCGGCGGCGAGGAGAACGGCCAGGCCGGCGTAGCAGTCGAGACGAGGCGGCATGTCGAGGCGGTCGGCGGTCGGCGGCAGGCGGAAAGGGGCGAGTCACAAAGCACTGGCCGAATGTGAGCAGCACGCCAGTCCGGGGCAGTCCAGCGCGGGCAACTCGAGCCGGGGGCTGGCCGGCAGACTGGGCTCGAGGAGCCGGCTCTCGCGCTCCGCCCACGCCTTGTCGTCGAGCCAGTGAGGCCAGGTCTGGCGGGCAGCCCGGGCAGCCCGCCTCCGGCTGGACCAATCACAGCCGCCCGACACTGCCCGCTTGCCCTGCGCCCATTGGCCGACTCGCTCTGCCCAGCCCCAGCCCACCACCTTCGAGCAAACAGACGCAACGGATCAATACGTCGACGGACGTCCAGAGGAGCCGTTGAAGCCTCTTTAGTCATCGCCACACAAGCGTCAGACATGCTCACATCTGCGTGGACTTGCCTCGCGTCGACGGCATCACTGATCGCGAGAGAATGAGGCCCAGATCGTGTCTAGGCAGCACAGGAGTTGGATCGATTCTGTTGATCCGAGCTACGCGACTGAGGCCCAAGGCGCAATGACGACAACGACGACTGCGGCCGAGGTGGCGGCTGCCCGCCCGAGCGGGCAGGCGACCGCTCGCTCATTGGCTCGCCAGGCCGCCTTCACTCCGGCGGCACGTTCTCTCTCCCGCATCGACGCGTCGATAAGTCAACTCTTCTCATGCCCCGCCAAACCCCCATCGCACCCACCCCTCACCGGCCGTCTCGGCCTATCAGCTTCCGTCTACCGGCCTGGGCTGCCGGTTTGTCGCCCACGCAAGCGGCGTCGGCTTGGCTCCGCGGATTTGCCGACTTGTCTCTGGCCCTTCTCGGCCAGCCAGTCAGTCTCCCTCTCGAAGTAGATCCAATCATCCGACCTGCATGCGCCATTATCGATTATCTCGACTCAGACTGCAGCCTCACTCCATTGGCATTGGCAGCGGCCGCCGTCGGTCTACGAAACAGCCTCAAAGCAGCTACCTGCTTTTCAATCTCTATGCCTACCTTTCAACATATACACACCCACAAATACACCAATACACAGCCATACATGATTTGAGGCATCCATCCATCAAATCATATATACATATACCTCTCTATCTCTATCTCTCTCTCTCTCTCTCACACACACACACACATTTCTATGCCAAGTGACATGCACTTTCTGGCCGGTTGGGCAAATTGACCACTTCGTCCGTCCGCCGGTCAGCCGGCATGAAGAAGTAAAAAAGCGCCTGTCCGTAATACGCATCAGTCTGCACAATTCTGTACATCGTCAGGCTTTAATTTTGACGATTCGCCTCCAAAAGGGCGTGCCCCAAAAGGCTGATAAGGCTGTTGACGAGGCGAGAGTGCAAGCATGAGTTGAAGAGAGCGTGAGCGCCGAGAGATTT